CTAGTTGCCATCATGGAGAATGGTTTTCTTGCTCCATGTAAAGTATGCCAGTCAGGTATAGTAATAGATGGAGAGAAATTGTATACACAATGGAAATTTTGTAAAATGCCTGAGGACAAATTATAAATGTTGTTTCCCTGCCCAAACTGCTACATATATATATATATATATATATATATATATATATATATATATTCTGGTGAGGAAAAGGATGTAGGTGCGAACATGTGGATGCACAATCAAGCAAGTATAAATGCACCGTAAAGCATTTCTAAATGCATTTGATTGTCAACTTTTGATATGCATCGTTAAGCATTTTTAAATGCATTAGATTTGACAATGAATGAGAATTAGGCCAAACATTTCTAAAATGTAATGTCAAGTATTTACAACTGTACCATCATGCAATTTCAAATACACTTAAATTGACAATCAATGAGAATCATGTAGTACATGGTATATTTGGAAATACTTTATAGTGTATTGATAATTGTTTGACGGTATGTATTTCTAGCTATTCATGGCTTTGAGCTTAGGTGCAAGATTGTTTTAACTTTTATAAGTGCAATTCAAATTTTTTGTTTGAACTCAACACTCAAGGGGGAAAAGTTCAAGTTGGACTGAATAATGAATTTCTACTTTTTGATTGTAAGTAAATTTATTTGGGAATTGGGAGTAACAGTCTATCTATACAAATAATCAAATACATAATGACAATAATATTAAAATTGTAATATGAATTTTTTTTTTTTTTTTTTTAAAATCAAACGCTAAATGATATAACTATAGTGTAGATATTTCGTTCACTAAACAAGAAAATTCAATTTTTAAAAATCAAATAAAAAATGAACTAGCAACTCATTAAAATTGAATATTCTATTTAAATAATATTGTTGTATAAACCTAATGGAGTAACTTAAGTGGCAAATGAGCTCTCTTTGTGAAAAAAAATTTCGGGATAGCTCGGGTTTGACTTGTGAAAAATTCGGACTACCTCGTGGTTTACAAAAAAAAAAAAAAAGAAAAACAAAAATGTTTTATAAGATATTGATACACAATAATTTATACTTGATGAATGCTTTAAATTTAAAATGACTCAATCTAATCACTTCAATCTACACAAAAAATATCACATACTAGTCTCAAGGTATGAACAAAGCGACTTAGATTAGTTCACAATGACATTATAGGAGAGTACATTTTGAACTTCTGCAAGATAGTGATTTTTTTCGTGGGCCTCAGGAGAGAGAAAAAGATGGTGGAAAGGCCGCGCATAATTTTTTGTGGTAATTTTAATTTTTAAAATAATAGGAAGTAATATTGTGGCAGGAGACATTGTCTCAATATCAAATATAATAATAATAATAATAATAATAATAATAATAATAATAATAATAATAATAATAATAATAATAATAATAATACTTTCAAAAAAAAAAGTTAATACCCATTTTGATCCTTCGACTATTAGATAAAAGGACGTTCTTGTCCATCTTTATAACGGTGGATGAATGACAATTGTAACGAATGACCAAATTAGGTATGATTTTACAAGTTAGAGAACTAAATTGGATACTTTTAATAGTATGAGACTAAATTACGCATTATCTAATAATCGAGGGACCAAAATGTGTATTAACTCTTATAAAAATATCAGTTAAAATACTTTGATTCTTTAATGATAAAAATAAAAAAGCATAGTTTTGAATTAAAAATTTAATGCATTTTTATTATTTTATATTTAAAAAATTGTCAAAATGATAAAAGTCCCAAAATGATAAAATAAAAGGTATAGGCCATGTTTGGTAAAATGGCTGTTAGCTGATAGCTGTTTGCTGTTAGCTGATTGTGTTAATTAGAGAGTATAAATAGTTGATAACATTAGCTGATTGTAGAAAAGTGTTTGGTAAATTAGCTGTTTGCTGATAGCTGTTTGATATAATTTCTTTTCTCAAAAAGCTAATTGAAAAAGTTGCTAGGAGTAGCTTTTTTAATTTTAGCCTTTTGGAGTTGCAAAAAGCTAATTAACCAAACATTTATATTGATATTTTAACTAAATCAAACAATTAATAGTGATCAAATAAGCCAAAATTGGCCTATAGGCCAATTTTTTACCAAACAGGGCCATAACCTCAAATGTCACTACTAAAGCTTGAACCTAACACCTCCTACATAAGAAAGCAACATGGTACCATTAGACTACAAGGTTCTTGGTTTTTTTTTTGCCTCATTACTTCAAAGATGTTTAATGTGTAATTTGTTCATTTAATTAAGGTTCTTTTTGGAAACTCGGAAAATGACTTTCGTAAGTCATTTTTTAGATTTTTCAATGTTTGGGTACTCTAGGAAAACAAAATCAAATGAAAATATTCATTATGGTCAACGAACAAAAAAAAAAAAAAAAAAAAAAACTCAATTTGACAGAAAATATCTTCCTAATTTTTTTTGTCAAAATACATTTTCCGGATCCTTTATTTTTCTATTTCTGTCTTCTTTTTTAAGTTAATTTTTGAATTATTATTACCACCACAATCACCACCACACCACCAACACCATCACTCCCATTACAACGCCACCACAACAACTACTACTACTACCATCATCACTACCATCACCACTAGTCCACTACCACCAACACCAGCCCCACCACCATCACCATTTATAATAATAATAACTAGCATTTTATACGCGCGATGTGCGAAAATTCATGCCCAATATTAAAAATATTAATAAATACAAATAATTAAAAATTATAATTTAAATTATATATACACAAATAATATATGTATTTTGTACACACATATATAATTTATCATTCATAGAAATTTAATTAAAATATAATTAAGTATTAAATTAATATATAATGATTTTAATAAAATGATAATTAAAAAATAAAAAAAAAGATATGATAGATATAGGTGTATGGTAATAATGATGTGCTATCAATGTTATAATTAAAAACTAACAGTGTTATACCAGTGTAATGGTAGTTTTGTCTAATAACATTGGAATGTACAACATTTAAAGTAAAATGTACACATTGAGACTTATTATGTTTTTAGATAATAATAATAATAATAATAATAATAATAATAATAATAATAATAATAATAATAATAATAATAATATGCTCATTTTTAGGAAAACGGACCAAATAGAAAAAAAAAATTCTTAACTTTCAACCAAATAAAAAACAGATAATTTTCTGACATTCAACTAAACATCAAAAGATTAAAATATTTTTTAGAAAATGAGACATTTTCAGGAAATTATTTTTCGAAAAACATTTTTCAGGTTTCCAAACGAACCTTAAAAGAATTTACAAAATATGAGAGAAATCAAATGTTAGGACAACAGACTTGAATAACAAAATTGTATGTTAGCTCTCTTTATTAAATGTGAAATGACAAAAATTTAAATGGCAGATTAATAGTGACAAATAAATAAAAATTCAGCATGTAATGATGTAAATTTTTTAAAAAATAAAATTGTCTATTAATTTTTTTTAATTTAATCTGATTAATTATGAACAACTTGAATAATTTAACTCTTTATAATTCTTTATCAACTAAAACTATAAACAGACTTTATTGGTCTATAATTCTCTCTCTAGAAATTCTCTCTAGGGTTTTGCCTCCTTGCTAGGGTTTCTCCTAGATTTTCCGACGCTTTCTTGTTTTTCTTGATCGAAACACGTGCGGTTCTTACTGTTGAATTACGAACGACCGACGGACAACAACGGAGACAACACGACCGCTACCTGCTGCTGGTTTCTGTCTGACAGTAACGGGCAACGACAAAAGCGGACGAATGGATGCTACGGCGACGAATCCGGTGGTGCATGGGGCTGACGAGGAACCACCGCACCTCGAGCGAGTGGATGACGTTATTGATCGTCTAACACAGCGTTAGGGTGATATTGCGCTTGAGGAGGAGGAGGAAATCGGCTTTGAGCCGGTGGGGGAGGGTGTCGGGGTGGTGGCGGAGGAGGAGGAACAACGGTGGGTGTGTGTTGGCAGATTCTTGACAACGAAGGTGGTGAAGTTGGAGTATATGCGGTAAGTGATGGCCTCGGTTTGGCAACCAGTGTGGGGTATGCATGTTACAGAGATTCAACCGGGGCTGTTTATGTTTATTTTTTATGATGAAACGGATATGCAGAGGGTCCTCGATGAAGGACCGTGGTCGTTTGAGAACAACACCCTGGTTTGTAAACAGGTGGAACCGGGTGCAAGGCCGGCTGCGGTTGAGTTGAAGTCGGTAGATATGTGGGTACAGCTGTATGACTTACCGCTGGGATATACATCGGAAGCGGTTCTTGAACAAGCGGCTAATTTTATTGGTACGTTTGTAAAAGTTGATGATCGTTATCCGGGAGCACCATGGAAGACGTTTCACCGGGTCCGTGTGTCAATACCGGTGGAAAAGCCGCTAAAACGGAGGATGAAGCTAATTAAACGAGATAAGTCAAGCTGCTGGGTAAACTTCCGGTACGAACGCTTACATAATTTTTGCTTTTATTGTGGTTTACTGGGGCATGCCTATAAGTTCTGTAAGCTGGCAAGGAAGTCGGGACTCACTGCGGATAAATTTCCATATACGGCGGACCTGAAGGCGGGGGGAGGTAGCCGTGGGCCTAGGCAAGTGGGGGACCCGTGGTTGAGGTCACTGGACGGGAAAGGGAAAGAGGGAATGGGAGGAGAGGGGAATGTGAGGGTTACGGCATTGGGGGGTGGTGTGGGTGAAGGAGGAGTACGGGTTGGGGTTGCGGGTGAGAGGGAGGGTGAGGGGGTGGTGGTAGCGGCGGCTAAGAGAAGGAGGGGGGATGGGATGGGTGGTGGCGGTATAAGGATGGATGCAGGAGATGTGGTGATGTTTGAGCTCTCAAAAAACGGATTTACGGCGGGTCCTGTTGGTCAGGCCCGCCCATCTCAATGAGTACAATAAGCTGGAACTGTCGTGGCTTGGGAAATCCACAGACAGTTCGTGAGGTGGTGGACATGGTGTCCCGTAAGAAGCCCGATTTCGTATACTTAATGGAAACAAAAGTAGATCGGAGTCATGCAGAAAGATTGCGAGTTAAGATTGGTTTTGAGGGTCTATTTTATGTGGATCCGGTTAGGGGAGGGGGTGGCTTAGCATTATTATGGAAGAAGAATAATACTGCTAGGCTGTTGAGTTATTCGAAGAACTATGTGGATGTGGAGGTGGTTATAATGGAAAAGATATGGCGGATGACATGCTTCTATGGGTTTCCACAGAGACATAGACGCAGAGAGGCGTGGCAATTGTTAACTGGGTTAAGGGATAAGTCTACACTGCCCTGGGTGGCGTTGGGGGATTTCAATGATTTATTATACCAACGTGAGAAGAGAGGGGGGAATCCTCACCCGGATAGTCTGTTGAGAGGGTTTGGGATACTGTTTACAATTGTGGACTGGACCAATTGCCAATGCGGGGTCACCAGTTTACATGGGAGAAGGGGAAAGGGACTGATAGATGGATGGAGGAAAGGTTGGATAAGGTGTTGGTGTCTGCACGATGGACTACACTGAATACTGAGGCGTGGGTCGAAAATATTCTAACCCGAAAGTCCGATCACTCTGCTCTCTTTTTAAACACTGATGTGGTGCGTGGCCGCAGATATGGGGGACCGAAACGATTCCGCTTTGAGATGGCATGGATTCATGATGACGGTTGTCGGAGGGTGGTGGAGACAGCCTGGCAGGATGGTAGGGATAAGGGGCTGTTGATTTGTCAGCAGCATTGTGGGGGGAGGCTAATGCGGTGGGGTGGGGAGCATTGGCATAAGTTTGGTGATCGCATCAAGCAATTGAGGAAAGAGCAGGACGAGATACGGCACAGACGAGATTCGGCTGCATTGGCCGAATTTCGCGACATTGAGGAGAGACTAGTGCAGTTGGAGATGCAGGAGGATGTATTTTGGAGGCAGCGGGCGAAGCAGCACTTGCTGCGCGGTGCGGACTGCAATACGAAGTTCTATCACAGGTACGCTTCTGCTCGTAGAAGGAAAAATTATATTCCTAGATTAAAAGATGATATGGGTGCATGGGTGGAGGGGGATAATATGAAGAGAGTTGTCTTGGAATATTATGCTGCTATTTTTACATCATCAGACACTGAATGTGAGGATCCCATGTTTGATAATTTTGCCCACCGTGTGATTAGTGAGCAGAACACTAAACTCCTCCGCCAGTTTGAGTTAGAAAAGGTCAAGAGTGCTTTATTTGCAATGTTCCCTGACAAAGCACCAAGACCGGATGGTATGAATCCTGGATTTTACCAGGAATATTGGGATATTGTGGGGGGAGATGTGTCTAAATTTATTGTGAATTGCTTGAACTCAGGCTCGTTGCCTGAAGGATTGAATGATACTAATGTGGTCTTAATCCCGAAGAAAGATGCGCCTGAGACAGTAGCTGATATGAGACCAATAGCACTGAGTAATGTTCTGTACAGGATCATGGCAAAGGTAATAGCCAATAGGATGAAACCGCTCATGGGGAACCTCATCTCTGAGGCCCAGAGTGCTTTTATCCCTGGGAGACTTATTACTGATAATATTTTAATAGCTGCGGAGGTGGGGCATTACTTGAATAGAAAACAGTGTGGAAGGAAGGGGTGGGCAGCATTGAAATTGGATATGGCCAAGGCGTATGATAGGATGGAATGGCAGTTCCTGAGATGGATGTTGGAGGTAATGGGTTTTAAGGACCGGTGGATTAATTTGTTAATGCAGTGTGTTACTACTGTCCAGTATAACATCTTGATTAATGGTGTTCATAGTGGAGGTGTAACGCCAACCAGGGGGTTGCGGCAGGGGATCCTTTGTCCCCATATTTATTCCTCATATGTGCAGAAGGTTTATCTGTGTTATTGCAAAGAGCGCAAATGTCTGGTTTAATACATGGCTGCAGGGTTGCTAGGGGAGCCCCGCAGATATCACATCTATTTTTTGCAGATGATAGCCTATTATTTTTTAGAGCAGACGGGGAGGAGGCGGGAGTAATTAAACAGTGCCTGGGACGATATGAGGAGCTTTCAGGACAAAAGGTAAATTATCACAAGTCCAGTGTCTGTTTTAGCAGAAATACCAGTGTGGAAGATAGGGAAGAGGTGGCGATTTGCTTGCAGGTAGACCAGGCACCCAATTTTGGGAAATATCTGGGACTACCATCTTTTGTGGGGAGGAACAAGAAGGCAGTATTCTCATATATTGAGGATAGGATAAAATAGAGAATAGGCTCATGGAACAAGAAATTTCTGACACAGGCAGGAAAGGAGATTTTATTGAAAAGTGTGGCACAATCTATGCCTACCTTTTCAATGAGTGTCTTTTTGATCCCGGACTCAGTATGCTTATCAATCCAGAGAACAATGAACAAGTATTGGTGGGGCACTGGTATGGATGGAGGAATACACTGGAAAGCCTGGGATAAGTTAAGTATCCCAAAGAAATATGGAGGAATGGGGTTCAAAGATCTCAAGAATTTTAATTTAGCAATGTTGGGAAAACAGGCATGGCGCCTACTCACAAGTCCAGACACACTTGTTGCAAAAGTCTATAAGGCAAGGTACTATCCTAATACCACTTTTCTTGATGCCAAAGTAGGAGGATGCCCGAGCCACTCATGGAGGAGTATTATGGCAGCTCATGATATGGTGGTGGCACGGGTGCGCAGGAGGATAGGGGATGGTAAAACAACACTGATCTGGGGACACCCGTGGTTGCCTGATAATCCTAGCCCTTTGGTGCAGACTGATATGCCTGTAGAGCTCAGGCACGCTAAAGTGGTAGGTTTAATAGATGAGCAAACTGCTACCTGGGACCCACATATTTTAGCAGATTTATTTGAGGAGGAAGATGTGAGTAGAATATTGAGGATACCTGTTAGTCCAGGATATGAGGACTCATGGTATTGGCCTGATGACCCCAATGGGATATACACAGTTAAAAATGCCTACAGACACATTACGGGAATTTATGATCACTGGCCTGGGAGTTTTGAGAAATGGACTAAAATGTGGGGAATGAAAATACCCCCAAAATGGAAGACTTTTTTGTGGAGAGCAGTTTGTGATATTCTTCCAACAACTAACAACTTGATTATAAAGAGGGTGGAAGTGGATCCCACATGCCAAATGTGTGGGATAGAGCATGAGAATATTATGCATACATTCATCAATTGTGATTATTCTAGACATGTTTGAAATATTTCAGGATTGCCAATAACAAATATTGTTGTCAACTCATTCCCCGAGTGACTAACAATTGTGCTTACAATGTTCACAGAGGACCAAAGTGCAGCGGTGGTGGCTTTGCATTATTGCTTATGGAGATGCAGGAATTCAGCGGTATGGGACGGCACACTGCCGCGGCCTACGACGGCCTGGAGACAGGCCACGGCGGCGCTCCACTCCTACCGGCAGGTGGTGTGCCGTGGCACGGCGGCTCCCACGACGACTACAGCAGATGGCGACACCGACTCCACCCCACGGTGTTACGTGGATGCGGGGTATCGGGAGGACACAGGGGAAGCTATATATGGTATTGTGCTGCTGTCTCCGGGAGGAACTTTTATTGCAGCGAAAAATGGGAGACTATCGAATTGTTTGTCACCATTCATGGCGGAGGCACTGGCATGTAAGGAAGCTCTATCCTGGCTTTTGGAAAAGAATATAACAACGGTAACGATTCAAACAGATTGTTTACAGCTGAGAAATGCGATACGGCAGAATACAACTATCATAATGTCCTATGTTGGAGTAGTAGTTGACCAGTGTAGGACTTTAGCTTCGTCTTTTAATTATGTCTTGTTTAATCATGTTTCTAGACAGATTAATGCGCATGCGCACACGTTAGCTTCATTAGCTTTTATTCAGGATCAAGCTATGTATTGGGATTCTATCCCTCCAGACTGCATTGCAGCTTTGATTCATTAATACAATCATTCATTGGTTGGCTTTCAAAAAAAAAAATAAGACAGACTTTACTCAAAATACACCTTTGGCAATTTATATCGTGCACCAGGGCACGCACTGCATTGTGCACTCTGATGCAAAACGACGTCGTTTCAGTTTTTTTTTTTTTTTTTTTAAATTTTGCTACCCTGTGTTGACGGTTAATTTTCATTAAAAAAAAATCTCATGTTAAAAAATGTACATAATTATATACTAGAATACACATAATTGTACACATGAATGTACATAATTGTATAACAAAATACACATACATTTTTTAAAAGATAATACACATAATCTAACATAATACATAATATACATAAACTTTTAACATAATACACATCAATTCTTAACATAATACACATAATTTTCCTGTTTCGGATGTACATAATTGTATAAAAAGATGTACATAATTGTATAAACAAATACACATAATCACGTCAACTCCCTACCTAACTTATCAAAACGACGTTATTTTGGGAGACGCATGACGCACAGTACTATGTGTACCGTGGTGCAAGCTATAAAGATTGATACACCTTTATATAGCGGCTTTGGCTTCCCACAAATCAAAGAATAAAGTGAAATTTTACTTTAAAATTAATAATTAATAACGGAATGTAAAAGTAACGTAAAGGTTGAGAAACAGAAATATATAATTCCTACATAAGACATAGAAAAACTTGTATGCACACGTGGAAGCCGTCAGCCCAATTTCTCAAACCTTTTCTTCTCCGCTCGTCGATCACTGTTCTCGTTTCATCCTTGCTCCACTCCATTTCGAAGCTCTCCATAATCTGGGTAAATTTTCTCCCCTTCATAATTTCCTATTTCTCAATTTTATTTTTATTTGTTAAGATTTTGATAATTTCGCTAGGTTGCTGCGCTGTTTTGCAAAAGGGTTTTTCTCCACTTCATCTTGATTTTGTGTTAATCATGATAAATGTTGCTAATGCAGAACCCAAATAAGTTTGCCCAGTAATTGGGTAGTTTTTACTGTCTTTGAAATACTTTTATTTCTTGTTGTGTACTGCAATTTGCACCTAATTTTTAAAACAAAACTAGTTTTTTGGCTTTATTCATGCTCTCATACGCCCAAGTATTGAGAAGTATATTAGTTTGATCTGAGTGTATAGATAAATTTGAGTGCTTAAGTTAGTTCCGAATATAAATGTGTAAAATTTTGCAAACTGAGAAGCTTGTAACATGAAATGATAATATTTTGTAATGGGGTACTATTCTGTCCTTTTCCATTAAATATTGGCCTGTCTTTGTAACTTCATCTAAGTAATCTTTGTAAGTTGTAACTGTGCTTAAATGTGATTGAGATTAATTGGGGGAATTTTAACTAAAGTATGGGAATCTGTATTGATAGAGAGTGATTGACACAAATCATGGTCATTTTTTTTTACTCTTTGAAACTATAGATATTCATTTGCCTTCAAGGAGTATTTTTGAATACTAAGATTACATCTGATGTGTTAGTGGGCTAAAATCATGCATAATATTACCTAATTGAGTAATTGAGAGAGAATGAGGTAGTGGGTTGCAAAAGTATAGTGGTTCTTTAGTTCCAGGGCAGGGGGTAAATAATCTGCTTCACTAATAACACATTTGGTTCACAGGATGAAATTTGGGGGAATAGGAATGTTATTTCCTTCTCCCAAATACAGCCTACTGAACCCGTGAGCTAAGCCCGTGCGGGCAGGAATGCTATTTCCTAACAAGTGGAGTAGAGGAGGAATAAAATAGGAATTTTATTTCATTGTTTGTTTAGAATAGGAATGTTCTCTAGTCTTTTAGATACCTTTAGTTTTGTCATTTTCCCTGTTCATTTGCTTTTTTATTTTGAAACACCCTCGTTTGAGAGTGCATCTAAGGTGTTGGCTATCCTTTTCAGAACAACAGGTCTGGTGATGGTTATACAGAAAACAAGAAGTTTAGAAAGAAAGGGCAATCTATCAGTCAGCTAAATACGAACTAATCAATGAAGATGAACAATAGCGTAGTCTCTGCTTTTGCTAATGCTCCTGCCACTGATGAAGTGAAAGAAAAGAAAGCTTCAAATAGCATCTCTGGTTTTATTTTCCTGTGTAATGGAAGGACAAAACCAGAGTGTTACCGGTATCGTGTTTTTGGGCTCCCGTTGAGTAAGACGGCTACTGTGGAGAAGATTAAAACAGGCACAAAGCTTTTCTTGTTTGACTTTGAGTCAAAGCATTTGTATGGTGTTTACGAGGCAACTTCCAATGGAAGAGTAGGGGTGGAGCCTCTTGCTTTTGGAGGCAAATTTCCAGCGCAGGTACTTTCTTTTTCCTGCTATGGTTAGCAAAACTGTAAATGATTTGAAGGAAGGTTTTAGACTTCTATAGGTGGAAGCTCACTGCTTAAACAGTGATCTAGAATTGCTGCTTGCCTTTCTTTCGTTCCTGATTTTTTTTTCCCTCTATAGTTAAGTAGATTGATCTGTCACGTTTCTAGCATAATTAGCTTTGGAGAATGGAAAACAAGAAATAACAACAGTTGTGATTGGTTGCTGTCATGTCCAGGTACAATTTAGAATTTATAAGGGATGTCTTCCATTGCATGAGACATCTTTCAAACATGCGATAAAAGATAACTACAAGGGCATCAAGTTTGAACAAGAACTTGATGAACAGCAAGTAAGCAATTACGTTATCTTTTTTGTGATGAAAAACTAAGATACATCTTAATCGCTTGAGTCTTTCAGTAACTGACAACTTTCTGTGGAACAGGTCAGTAATCTCTTATCATTGTTTCGGCCTCTTTCTGCATCATCGTCATCACCTGTGCCCAATCCATTGGCAAATACTTGCTCACCTTTGCCAAATATGGGCCCTCCACATGTCATTCACCCCTTGGCAATGAAACAGCAAGTTAAGCACTCAATAAAGCTACCCATTGGGGAAGATCCATATTTTCCCAAAATTCACCAAGGCTATGTTCAAAACATCCAAAGTTCACAGCATAGGTGGCAGGGGAGCATGCCTATCACAGATCGTGTCCATTTAGCCATTGAACATCCAGGATTTGCTGCTCCCAGTGGCCAGTATTATACTGCATATTCTCAACAACAACATGTTACAGCTTCCTATTATCCGAACTATACTGCAAAACCAAATGTCACAGCTCCCATTCACCAGTATTACACTGCAGACGTTCAACAACCAAATATTGCGGCTCCTAGTCACCCATATCATACTACAGATTCTCAACAACAAAATGTCAATATTTCCGGTTACCCATATTATATGGGAGGTTTTCAACAACTAGGTCATACAACTTCATGTCACCCATATTATACAGCAGATTCTCAACAACTAAATGCTACAGCTCCTAGTCATCAATATTATCCTACAGATTCTATAAAACAAACTGTTGCTGCACCTAGTCACCCATCTTGTACTGCAGATTCTCAACAGTTAACTGCAACAGCTCACATTCAGCAATATTTTTCTACAGATTCTCAACAACTAAATGCAGAAGCAACTAGTCATCCATGTTACACTGCAGAGTCTCAACAACCAAATGCAGAAGCACCTAGTCACCCATATTATACTGCAAATTATCATCAACCGCATGTCATTGATGGTGCTGCACAGTTGAGACAGGATACTTATTCCGGGTACATTTTCTTCATTTCCTTTTGAACTATTTTGTCTTCTCTCTCGCTCTTTTTTTTTTTTTTTTTTTTTTTTTTTGGGTCGGTGTGTGTGTCTCTATTTGTGTTTTTGGGAGATGTGGAGGAAGTTTAAAAATTTTGCAAATTAGATTATTTCCAACAGCCTGGTGTGAATGGATTGTAATTATAGACTTAAAATCTATGTAATCAGTTGTGAATTCAATTTTGAGTTCAAAGTTTATTAATTTTTTTCCTAAGTATTTAACAATTCTAGAAAAGCAAAATGTAGAAATCAGAGTGATGTTGTTTAGTTGGCTCTTTGATTGGTACAGGTCAATGCAAGTGGCAGCTCCACAGGATCAACTAATGGGATCACAATACTATCCGCAATTGCCTCAACAGATGCATCAACCAAGCGATATTGCATACAACTCTTACTCCATGCCCTCAGCACCTTATGGATCTTTAGTAACTCAGCCAGAAGCTCCTCAAGCAACGGGGCACAATCTAAATGCTCCCACCTCGACCTATTGTTAGTTAGTAGGTGCAAATCATGCAATCAGCTCATAATATGTTTTTTTGAGGAAGGCGCTGAACATGAACGGGAACCAGTGTCGTCCACTTGTTAAGTTTGCATGAAAAATGTTACCTTTTCTTTAGGAAGCAGTTCTAACTCTGCCCAAAATTGCGACTGGAAAATGCAAAGTAAGAATGAGAACCAGGCAACCAGTCAATAGTTTTGCAGATTTGCCCCCACGGGCGTCTTGAGTAGCCCAAATATTTGATTTTGAATATGGTTGTTCAACTTTATTATGGGGTTTTTCTTAAGGGCTTATTAAGGTCTATGGCTGCACTTTGATCGTTACATGGTTTTCGATTATGGTATGCATCAATTTCTCCTGTTTGCCACCTTGCCATTGTTTTGCAGAGACATCAGCTGGATTTTCAGATAACACTGAAGCTTTTCATTTTCATGTTATAATCACAAAGCTTGCAATCCAACAAGCACAAGTGTAGGTAAATATCACTTCCAATTTTATGGTTTATATACTGTACCTGTGAAAGTTTATTTTTTGGGTCCACTCTTTTGTCCCCAGAGGAGACACCACTCTGTAGTGGTTGACCTCTTGACCTTTGTGGTTGACTGCAACCAAAGACATCATAAAGGAGATTTCTTTGCCTTTGCACAAGCCAAAGTCTCTACTTCTGAGATGGTGGACAATGTTATATGATTTTTTTTTAAACGAATTTTTTTACTATCTGACATGATTTTACCTGACTAGTAAGTGTAATTAATGAATTAAAAAAAAAAGTAGAGGACTTGCCCCACCTTTTGGTCTCTAGGACAATCCCAAATGGGAACACGATTTTCTGATATTTTTGTTCTTTTTCACTCCATCACTGTATCGACCCTGTAATGGAATAGAATGATCTCCACAGACTCCACCTTAAGTTGCCATGCATTGAATTAAGACATTTCAATCAAATTTCTATTGCCATGATGGTTGTTGTAGTATGCTCTAATAAATAAAATTATGTGATGTAGTTGGTGGGATCTACATCTATGTGTAAAAAAGAGAATAAAATTATACAGGAACGTTCATAAATGAGTTCACAATATTTCTCTTTCTGTTACTAAATTTTCTCTCTTATTTGTTTTTATCTCATGGCAAATTCTTTGTGAGATTGTGAATTTGGGTCTTAAGGTATATATGCCTGGTAATATTATTTCCTGCAAATTGTCTATCATAGTTTTGATATAAAATATTACATTTATGCTATTAAGTAGTATATATAAGGCTTAAAATATTGATTATATATGCAATTCTACTATGTTATTACTTTATTTCCTATAGATTGTCTATTATAATTTTTCTTTTTATAAAGTACTACATTAAAGAAGCATTGATTGTCTATTTAACTACTATTTTATTTCCTATAGATTGTAAGTTTGATATGAACTGAATGATACTATGCTCAATTTTTTTTTTTTTTTTTTTTGGTGGAAAAAGACCTGTATCCTACTGGAGAAAAGAGGAAAAACTACCAAACTCTAGCTGTGCTTGTCCCAAAGGCGTCTGCCGTGAGGAGAGGATTTAAGCTTAACGGCGGCAGGTCGAGGCAAGTGGACCCCCAAGCCGCAGTTTGCCCCAAGTTAGCCAGGTGGTTTACACATTTGTTTCCCTCGCGCAAAGTGTGTCGGAAGATCACATGTTCCATACTAGTAGCAAGAAACCTACAGTCCTTAAAGATAGAGGATGAGCACTCTTCGGCAATCTTGTCCCCGCTCATGGATGCCACCACTGATTCTGAATCTAGCTCAAAGACGACCCTTCTTAAGCCCCTGTCCTTTGCCAGACGTAGACCCTTCCTTAGGCCCCACAACTCTGCCGCAAAGCTATTAGAAATCCCAATGTTTGTGATAAACCCAAAGAGTCACTCCCCTTTGTGGTCCCATGTAAGGTCCCCGGCACTCACAAGGCCCATGCTTTTCTTGGATGCACCATCAGTATTAATTTTGACCCAACTTGGTTCCGGAGGATGGCAACATACCCAATGCATTCTACCCACGTTTTCACATTTATTTTTGAAGAAGGCTTCAACCGTGTTAGTTGCCAGACTACTAGCCCGTGCTTTACCTTGTTTAGAAACCTTGTAAATGACCCCCACAACGTCCAAAAGACCATTTTCCACACTTTGCGCCAAATATCCCTATAGTCATCATGCGTTAGCCAAGCACCCTCGAACCAGAAAGGCCTGGTTTCCCTCCGTGGAGGGGTCCCAACTTCACCCATGAATTTGAGAGGGTGGTGATTCGAGTGGGTTCTAGGCAAGATGACCGCTTTTGCCTCAGGGAAATGATTTTGACCCTCAAGGTTCTAAAGGACCCTGTCTAGTTTCCTGCATTGAACCTTTCTTCCCCCTTCTTGCCTAAACCATGAATATCTGACTCCTGTGGTCCCCATATCCAAAAGTTTCACAGGCACTAAAGTCCTCCACAAAGTTCAGGCAGCGACTAGAATTTACCGAGCTACTACCCCATTGTTCATAGTTGTCCGCAATATCATTGAAATCCCCCATCATAATCCAGGGATCATTAAACTCTATGCTATACCTCTTGCATTCGTTCCAAAACAACTCCTTGGCCATCCGATTAGGCCTCACATACGCAAATGAGACCCGCGTATTAACACTCGGGCCGCTCATAATCCCATGAACGACTTGGGACGTGTTCTTGATCACTGCAAAATTGAAAATACTAGATCTCCATAGGAGTGTTAGACCACCAGCAAAGCCTAACGGATCCACAATAAAAGTTTTATCAAAACCCAAGGTTTCAACCATCCTTTTAAGCCTATTGACGTTATTAGTTTTCGTAATGACACCAACCTGATTATCCCTCATCAAGCACTTGGCATGGCTCACCGTTTGGCCACCCCCCCCCCCTCCCCCACCCCCCTAATTCCAAGACAGAATGATACTATGCTCAACAATAATAGAATAAAATAAAATAATTGATATGTTGATAGTAGTAGTTAAATAGTATGGAGTACTAGAATGCTTAAAACACACAAATTTAAAACCAAAAAAAAAAGATATTTAATTTTTTTTTATACTATATTAGTATCTACATCTCATAAAATAAATTTAATATAGTCCAACTATGATTGATTTTTGCTCCACAGTTCTCTAAAAAGAATATTTTAGAATTTTGGCTTTGAATTTTGATGTAGTAGGTAATAATTAGGTGCAAAAAGGTAGATTTGGGTAAAGTAATGCTTCCTAAAAGCATTGCATGCACACTAATAAATTCACTACTTTTTGCAAATCTTATAAAGTTTGTCTAGTCTTCTTCTAAAAAAAATTAAAGAGAAAAGGGTCAAATAGACCCCTAAACATTACCCTGTTTGGTTCATGGAATGTCAGATTATCTTAGGAAATGTTAGATTGCTGGGAATGTTAGATTCCCGTGTTTGGTTAAAATTGGGTATGTAATATAATCATGTTTGGTTTAGGGTTATCTTTATTCACACACTATAATATCCTTAACATATTTTCATATATTTTAATAAATTTAAAAATTAAAATAAATAAATAAATAAATAAGATAATGGTATCATATATAATTACATGATTTTAAAATATTAACTAAAATATTGAACTTGAGAAACAAAATTATTTTATATGCTAACCTAACATAATAAAAATAAAAAAATATATAATTACAAAAATAATTATATGTGTGTGTGTGAGAGAGAGAGATATAAACTAACATAACCAAGGTTATCTTACATAACCTTAGAAATTGAAGGGAATCACATTCCCTTCAAAATCCTATGTGGAGGGAATGTGACATTCCTGGGGAATGTTAGATTCCCTGAGATAATGTGAACCAAACATAGGAATGTGAGCTTTGGAATGTCACATTCCCTTGGTTATGTTATATAACCTGAACCAAACGTCCCCTAAAGGTTAATTAGCCCCTTAAACTTTAAAAAATGTCAATTAAACACTCAAACATGCTAAATTTGGTCAATGAAGCCCAAAAACCGGTAAATGACCTATTTTTACCGGTCATTTTAATTCCGGCGACGAAATCCGGCCACCGGTGACAGATTCCGGCCACCGGCGAATTAATTTTCTGGCCGTCCGGTCGTCTTCCACCGGAGAAGACGACCGGACGGCCGCTTCTCCAATGGAGAAGGCGGCATGCGGCCGTCTGTCGCTTCTCCAGTGGAGAAGACGACCAGATCTGGTCGTCTTCTCCAATGGAGAAGACGGCCGTCTGGTCGTCTTCTCCACTGGAGAAGGCGGCAGACGGCCGCCTGCCGCCTTCTCCATTGGAGAAGGCTGGAGAAGGCGGCCGTCCGGTCGTCTTCTCCGGTGGAAGACGACCGGACGGCCGGAAAATTAATTCGCCGGCCGCCGGAAAAATTCGCCGGTGGCCAGAATCCGTCACCGGTGGCCGGATTTCGTCGCCGGAATTAAAATGACCGGTAAAAACAGGTCATTTATCAGTTTTTGGGCTTCATTGACCAAATTTAGCATGTTTGAGTGTTTAATTGACCTTTTATAAAGTTTAGAGGGCTAATTGATCTTTAGGGTAATGTTTAGGGGTCTATTTGACCCTTTTCTCAAAATTAAATCCCCAACTCCAAGAGTGGGAGGATGTAAATCGTGATAACTCAATGACTCAGTAGATAGAGTTAAATACCAGTGTGCACAAAGGATTCGTCCATTTTAGGCATAATCCTATATTGTTGCTGTCGAGGTTCGAACATTGGTTTATTCTCTTAAATATTGCTTACTGAACCAGTGAGTTAAGCCTGTGGAGACAAAATTTGTCTAGTGCATTACTATTGAGTGCCAATTGGCCGATGCATTATTATCTGGATCATCTTATGGGAAAAATAAATTGCACAATTTTCACTTCGTCCCATGAATCCCATATCGAGGAGTGTGGTCTCTCACTCTAATAGCATGTTTGGTTCACCAAATAAATTTTGAGGGAATAGGTTATTTCATAGACAATGAAATAGGTAAGGAATTGAATAATAATTGTATTTTATTGTTTGATTCGCTGATGAAATAGACTTAATAATTGTATTTCAGTATTTGATTGATTAAAGGAATAGAAATGAAATATCTTTTTAAAAGACATATATACAAAATAATAATAATAATAATAATAATAATAATAATAATAATAATAATAATAACAATAATAACAATAATAACAATAATAATAATAGCAATTGTGATTATGATATTATTATTATAAATATAATAATATAAACTTATAAATATAATAAATATATATTTATAAATATAAATATAAATAAATGTTAGGAATATAGCGGAATAATGCGGAAGCGAAGAATCGAAAATTGAGAATTATAGAAGTTAAATAATAGGGAAAATATTTAAATGAAGAAAATTATATAAATGACAAATGAATCTAATATAAAATGAGAAAATATAAAATATATATATAAATTCTCAAAAGAGAATAACAAATGAAATATATATATATATATATATATATATATATATATATATATATATATATATATATTTGTACGTAAGGAACACTAAAGACAAAGAAGATGAATTCAATAATTGATAGTGTTACTACTACTGATGGTAATACTAAAGATGATGCATCTACTAGCATCGCACCTCTCGTCGAGCCACAACGAGAGTATTCCATTGCTATGGATCGTCCTAGGAGGACAATTAAAAAACTTGCTAGGTATGCTAGTGATGATGAAACCAACATGGTTGCTTATGCTCTTTCAGTCACACAGGAAGTTGATGGTGATCCATCCTGCTATTCTAAGATTCTTCCTGTTGCTAAGTTCAACCAGTGCTTGAGTTTAGTCGGCTGTTCCAGTTGTTAATTGCACAATGGATTTGATCCAAGGTGGAGATTGTTAGGAAAATAATTGTGGCTCAAATCATGAAGACTGTGTCATCCTCAATACCCACGTTGCGCATGTCTTCCTCCTCAATGCCCTCAATGTACAACCACGTTTCCTTTTCTTCAATACACACTGCCGCATTTATCTCTATTTCCTATTGTATAAATAAATTAGTTGTTTTGCTTTGTAATGCATCAATTATTGAATTCATCTTCTTTGTCTTTAGTGTTCCTTACGTACAAATATATATATATATATTTCATTTGTTATTCTCTTTTGAGAATTTATATATATATTTTATATTTTCTCATTTTATATTAGATTCATTTGTCATTTATATAATTTTCTTCATTTACATATTTTCCCTATTATTTAACTTCTATAATTCTCAATTTTCGATTCTTCGCTTCCGCATTATTCCGCTATATTCCTAACAAGAAACTTAACCCATTACCCACGTAGGGCGAATGAAAGCTGGAGGTCTGTAAATTTTCATGCAATCATGCCTAACAAATAGGGGTGTGCAAACTTCGGATAATTTTCGGTTAACCGACCGAACCGACAAAGTTCGGTTAACCGTTTTCGAACCGAACTTTTTCGGTTCGGTTAGTGGTTAAAGGAATTTTAAAACTTCGATTAACGGTTAATTCGGTTCGAAAGGTCGGTTAACCAAATTAACCGAACGGTTAACCGAAGTTTTTAATATATATATATATATAAATAATAATATAAATATTAATACAAATTTGAAGTTATGGATGTTTGGAGTTTCTAATTAATGTTTTTGTATATTTTGTTATGAATTTATTATGATATGTATTTTATTTTAATTAGATTTATTATTTTAGGTGTTATTTTTAGAATTTTAAATTTTAGCTTTAAAAAGTTCGGTTAATCGGTTAACCGACCGATTAACCGAACTGAAAAAAATTTCGGTTCGGTGAATTCGGTAGAGCAAACTTCGATTCGGTTAATAGTTAAAGTAAGAAAAACTTCGGTTAATTCGGTTCGGTTAACCGATTGAACACCCCTACTAACAAATGGGTTAGATGAGAAAGGAAAAAAATAAAGGAAAAGGGTCAAATAGACCCTTAAACTATAGGCAAAAGAGCAATTAGACCCTTCAACTTTTAAAAGGTGCAATTAGGCCTTTCAACTTGTTATTTTGAGTCAAATAGGTCCAATAACAGGTTTTTCACCTGTAATAATCAGTCAAAAAATTCCGACAACATTTTCCGACGAAAAAAATCCGGTGACAACAAAATTTTTTTAAAAAAAAAAAAACTAAACTACCGGAGAAGGCGACCAGATCAGGTCGCCTTCTCCATTGGAGAGGACGATCGGACTGGTCGCCTTCTCCACTGGAGAACGCGACCAGTCCGATCATCCTCTCCAGTAGAGAAGGCGGCCAGTCCGGTCGCCTTCTCCACTGGAGAGGGCGGCCAGATCTGGTCGCCTTCTCCACTGGAGAAAACAACCGAACGGTTGTCTTCTCCGGTAGTTTAGTTTAGTTTAGTTTAGTTTAGTTTTTTTTTTTTTTTTCTTTTTTCTTTTTTTTTTTTTTTTAATTCGCCGAAAAACGTCGTCGGAATTTGTTGACCGGTTATTCCAGGTGAAAAATCTGTTATTGACTTATTTGATTCAAAATAACAAGTCGAAGGGCCTAATTGCACATTTTAAAAGTTGAAGGGCCTAATTGCTCTTTTGCCTATAGTTCAAGTGTCTATTTGACTATTTTCCCAAAAAAAAAAAGAAAAAAAGAAAAGGGAGGTCTGTAAATTTTCATGCAATCATGCCTAACAAATGGGTTAGATGAGAAAGGAAAAAAAGAAAAGGAAGGTCTGTAAATTTTCATGCAATCATGCCTAACAAATGGGTTAGATGAGAAAGGGAAAAAAAAAAAAAAGAGGAAAAAGGTACAAATATGTCATCCAACTATTTTAGGGATAACAATTAAGTCATCAAATTTGTATAAGTTTTAAATTCATTCATGAACTTCAAAAAAAGTGCAATTAACATTTTTACCCGGTTAACAACATGTTTATATAATAAAATATAAAATTAAAAAAAAAAACAATTATTATCACTCTCTCTCTTCGTTACTGTCCTCCTCCATTTGGGGACTGACGACGGTGGCTTAGGAAATCGTTGGTGACGAGGTAGATTCTCCGGCGAACCTCTATGGTTAAAATTCTCTGGCGAACCTCTATGGTTAAAAGGGTCATTTTAATATCAAAGAGAGAAAAACTGTCATTTAAAATAATTGAAGGGGTAAATGTGAATATATGAATAACTTAGAGAAAAATATTTTAAGCCTATAATTAAAGGGGAAGAGATGTAATTTTTTCTTTTATTAAATAAATAAATAAAAATGGTGTCGGACGCGGCTTCGGCGGGTCCCACGGAACAGAGCTGGAGCCCACTTTCGTTCACAACATTGCGATCCTGTCTCCTTCTGATTTCTGATAATATAATTTTTCACGTAATATTTACAGCGTCCGAAAGTGAGAGTATATAAAGCACGCGCTGCCTGGCAGTCAACGTAATTAATACTTCTGGACACAAAGTCTAAGCAAAGGCTGCGCCAACGATGGGGAATTGCTGCTCCGACGTGGCCGGCGGGCAGGCGGCCGTCGGCGGCACCGGGACTTTCCAAAACAATCCGGCTGATGCTGCGAGCGACGCCGTCGATGCCTTCCTCAAGTCTCGCCGCTACCACGGTCTCTACTCTCAGATCGAGGTTCTAACTTACTATATACAAGCATACTTATATATCGCCTGCGTTGATATAGCAAATGAGTGTAATTGCAAATTCATGCTGAAATTACGGAGAATTGTAGTAGAATTGGCTGTTGAACTGGGAGTTCACCTGTCATTGTGGAGATTTATTTGATTTTTTGTAGCTAGCTAGTTAGCTAGTCTGCAATATTTGGAACTCGTGTTACAGATATGCAATTGATCAGTTCGTAGCTCGATTAAGTAGCGATTTCGATTTTCCAGATGTAGCACTAAATGATAATGCCTACTTGAGCTCCTGTCGAGTAGTTGACTTTTTCGTTTATAATTTGTATTATGTAAACTTTGGCCATTTCTGTCGAAGCTTTTCTGAAATGTTTAGATTGAAAAGAGAAGAGTACAGTCCATACAGTAGCCACTAAGCAAGCAGAAGTTACATGCTTGAAGAGGTGGCAGAGTATCTAGGGTAGTGGATGCTATATTAGAAGTGATAATGGAATATGGAAAATCTTCCATATTTGTTTAAGTGGGTACATTGAACATCCATTGAGCACTTTTTCAACAAGTGGAGAGAATGTTAGGATAGACTTAAGCCCAAGTGTTTGCCTCTTCACAAGAAGAAAGTAGGAAAAATAAATTGGAACTTGTGCCTAAATTAGCTCAATCATACTTGAAAGGGTGACATTATGGTCTAATTTACTAGCAATGGTGCATTTAAGACCATTATTGTTGGAAGAATGAAAGTGCAGACCTCCATTATGCAAAACAGCTTACCTTGCAGTTCCTAATAGATTTGTTACTTGTTAAATTTTAAAATAGTGCTGCTCTGAACTGAGGATCTTCTAGGTGATGAACAGAGAAATTTATCTCTGTATTTTTATAAAATGACATAACTACCCATATGGAATCATGTCACTCATGTGATAAGCACATGATATTGTTGAAAAACTTACCAGAATTTGCTAATTGTATGATGGAAGTGTAGGTTGCTTTTATTACATGCTAAATTGTGGACATGGTTATTAATTTTGAAAGAGACTAAACTATAGGCTGTTGAATAAAAAAGTTACCCTTGATATAATAATTTTAGTCTACCAAAACTGATATGTTTGAACATAAACTTGTGCAGTTATCTCTATCTGCCTCAAATTTGCGGGATCGTGATGTGCTTTCCAAGGTTTGTTTTTAGGTTTTTAACTACAAATATCGAGTATGATGTTATTTAGCTAGGTTTTTTTCTAGCATACATCTACAAATATTTATATGTACTTATTGTTGTCATTTCAAAGGTTCTAATTATATTAAGGCTAGGAAACCCAGTGGTCATTTCTATGATTCTTACTAGTTGAAGAGAAATGGTTAAACAATTCATGCTCACATTTGTTCTAAGCCAAATATGGAATTTCAATCTTGTGCAAAGTATTTTTTTATATTACCAATGCACTAACTCCTTGAATATGAAGCTTAAGAAATAGTTTCATGAAACTATGAAAAACTGTGAGGGATGTTTCTTGGTCAGTTGTAAATGTTATTTTGTTTGCAGAGTGATCCAATGGCAATTGTTTATTCTAAAGGAAGGGATGGCGTGCTTAATGAGCTGGGCCGAACGGAAGTGGTTTTGAATTCAGTTAATCCAAAATGGATTGCAAAATTTAACATCACCTATCAATTTGAGACGGTGCAGTATTTGGTGTGAGTCCTGACATTCAGAATATGATTTTGGTTGAAGAAATTTCCCGTTTATGATTTATCAGTATCATTTTCATTTCTTCACAGGTTTCATGTGTATGATGTTGACACACAGTTTCATAATCAAGATTTGAAGGTATTAGTTCTTTAGATCACTCACAAAAATCAAAATACAAATTAAACAAACAGAAATTTGGTCTCTTTCCACGAACAGAAAGTTAATCCTTTTGATTTCTGTCTGTTTATCCACCAATTTAGCTTCACATTGTTTATTAAGAGCTCAACAAAAACCTTGCCCAAGTCTTGTTGTGCCTCATGATCTTACTGTGATAAGTTGAGTGAACAGCTCTTGCTATTTGACATGTGTGCTCCTTTGGAGCACTTTTGTTTAAGAGTGTCTGTGGTCCTTTACTTCATAGTTGGTTCCACATGTACACCTTAATCCATACAAAATGAAATTTTAAGTGTTTCTATGCTAAAAGTATGAAATTATTTATTAAATAGCATTTACTTCATACAGATGCTTAGATTGGATGAGCAAGATTTTCTTGGTGAGGCTAGCTGCACACTGTCAGAGGTTTGGATTAATCCTAACTCAACAACCTTCTGTTAGTGTAATTATCATTACCCTAAATTAAGTTCAAAGAAAAGAGAAACATGCTTCAGTAGCATGGCTTACACATTTCTATTGAAACTTTTTGGATTAAATGTGCTGCTCGTGTGGCCATGCAGTAATATTAACAACCCTGAATCTGGTAGGGGTTTCTCTTATTATAAATGACTTTGCTGGAGGATATGGCCAGCATGGTATTGGCTCTTCTATCCTTCATATAAAAAAAAGATATAGTATTTAAAAATATTTATTACTGGCATTGCTTTAGCTTTTAATTATTACTCCATTTAGCTTTCTCTTGTCATGACATATTAACTCACTGTTTCATATTTTCCCTAGCAATACTGCAACAGTATGTGGCGTTAGAATCATGTGGCTGTTCATGAAATTTTTGTTATTTACTTATTTATTTATTTATGTTTGCAGATTGTCACAAAATCAAACAGGTGCTTGACATTAGACCTTTTACATAGATCTTCTGGTCCAACGCATAGCCAAAAGCTTGGCAAGCTCACTGTATGTGCAGAAGAAAGTGTCGCCTCAAAGACTACAATAGAGTTTATATTTCGATGTTCAGACTTGGAATCCAAGGATTTGTTCTCAAAAAGCGTAAGCACTCATTGACTTGCTTTCTTTCATTTTACCCTCTGACAGGATGCTGATACATCATGTGATCCACTGTCTCTGGCAGGACCCCTTTTTGCTGATATCCAAGACGGCGGAAAGTGGAAATGTTATTCCCATTTGCAAAACAGAAGTTTTGAAAAATGACCATAATCCAATTTGGAAGCCTGTTTATTTGAGTATTCAACAAGTTGGAAGTAAGGTATAAACCCAAATGAGATAAAGCTACCTTGCTAACCTCCCCTTGAAAAGATTGAATCTAAGATTGAGGCGAGGACACTCAATTGGGATATAATGCACATGGATCAAACCACACTAAAAAATTGAATGCAATCAATTAGCTAGTCTAACCCATAACCTTATAAACCCATGTGTTTCTCTCTTATTTTTCAATGTGGGACTCTTAACACTTGCTGTAGAAATGATCTTTGAAGCAGTTAGACAATTTTGATGAGCGCAAGGCTGCAGTATGCTTGCCTTAATTCAATGATATGCTGCTGTATAATTTGCAGTATACTACTGAATAGAATAAGGCACTACATGCTTAGACAGTTAGAAGTAGCTTTATAAATTTTGCCCATGCAGCTTTCTTCCCAGTTAAAATTGACTTGTCAATTGAATCCCTTTTGGATCATGCAGGACAGCCAATTGACTATTGAGTGTTACAACTTCAATAGCAATGGAAAACATGACTTACTTGGGTAAATATGCCAATTTCCTTTTTCATAGTATCCTTTCTACACCACTACAAATTCAACATCTCATATTGCTCCTTATATATGCTCAGAAAGGTTCAGAAATCACTTGCAGATTTAGAAAAATTACATGCTTCTGGGGCTGGGGTAAATTTCTTTGTACCAACTTCTATTGGACCTACTCCTCAAACTAAGGTAAAAACTAACTTAATTGGATAGATTGGTTACATTTTCAAGTTTTGGCCACTAAATGTGCTCTTTGACATAAATTCAGGTCTTAAAGAGTCAACTGTATGTTGAAAAGTTTACTGAGAAAATCCAGCATACATTCCTTGATTACTTGGCATCAGGTTATGAACTTAACTTCATGGTGGCTGTTGACTTTACTGGTATGTTTGAATTCATGCAGATATATATTTGTAATTGCCCCCAAAAGTTTATGACTGCTAGTCTCTAACAAAAACATGAAAATAGGAGTAGGATAATTTGCACGCAAGAAACAATTTTGAAGTTATTGGGGGGTGTCAGTTTTCCTCCAACCTAGATTTCAAGGGTGGAAGGGGTTAGTTGTTTCACTTTTTAAAGATTACTCAATTTTTTTACTATGCAATGTCCTAATAAATGCAACTAAGCAATTTCTATAATGGTGAGATCTACAGAATAGTTATTTATCAATTAGTTTTTTTTTTTTTGAATACTACGGACTCTACTCTAATGATCACCTCCACTGAGACTCGAACCCACAACCTCCCCTATGAGGGAGCAACTTGGTGCCATTGGACCACAAGGTCCTTGGCACAGAATAGTTATTAAATCTTACTGTAATACAAAAAAAAATGATGTTTCTGTACATGAAAATATTCCCTCGTGAAATTGTAAGTTCTATTTGCCTTTGGAATGAAACAAATAAAATGTCACTTTTCAACTTTTCCCCTCTAATCTAAAAAGATAAAGGGTTAATTAGAAAATAAAAAAATAAAAAAAGGTTAATCTATAAAGATAAAGGGTAAATTGGGAAAAGTAAATTGTTGTGTTTTAAGGATATTAAGGATCAAAATTTACCAAGCACCTTGTGTTTAGATGGCACCTTTGTGGCTCTCTTTGAGGGAAGGTCATAGGATTGAATCCCTGTGGTGGGATATTGACTCTTTGGGCTACAATAAAATAGATACTACCTTGTAATAGAGTCAATAGTACTAAAAAAAAAAAAGGATCAAAATCTATTAATGGGAAAACTATTTGCACTTTTTAGTCAAGTAAACAATGTATTGTAAAATATTTTACATTTGTTTTAAACTTAGTGGGTGGAGCAAGGGTTTAACAAAATATTATATTCATTATGTACCAATGGGGCTCTCCGAGAAACTAGCTAGGGGAGGGCTTCCCTGCCTAGCCCCTTCTGCCACTGCACAAGATCCCTTGACATGTACAGTTGATTCCTCTCACTTCTATTGTCTGTCTCAGCTTCAAATGGAAATCCACGCCTACCTGATTCATTGCATTATAATGATCCTTCAGGACGCCCAAATGCATACCAAAGAGTGAGTTACCATCAAGATTTAGAAGCTTCTGTTATTTTAAGTCAAAACATCTAACCAAATGTGTGTGTGTGTGTAAATTATAATTTCAGGCAATCACAGAGGTTGGAGGGGTATTGCAATTTTATGATTCAGACAAACGCTTTCCAGCATGGGGGTTTGGAGCAAGGCCAATTGATGGTCCAGTTTCACATTGCTTTAACTTGAATGGAAGCAACAGTTACTGTGAGGTAAAGTCTGTTACATGGAAAACATTTGGTTGACACACTTAATTCACCTTAAGTCTCTTAAGTTGTGTTTCATTTGCTATGCTATGTCTTACATGGAAATCTTTTCATATTTCAGGTCGAAGGAATCCAGGGAATTATGATGGCATATATGAGTGCCCTTTTTAATGTGTCACTTGCAGGACCAACTTTATTTGGGCCAGTAATAAATGAGGCAGCACAAATAGCAGGCCGATCTGCAGCAATAAAAGAGCGGAAATATTTTGTGTTGTTAATAATAACGGTATGCCTCTATTATTGAATGATTGTGAAATATCATTAGAGACATAATTCAAACAAAAATTTGAGTTGAAAATGAGTAATCTCATTCTAATAAATTGAATGGGACTGTCCACCCCTGTCCAAGCTAACTTTATTTTTTTTGTTCTCTAATATTTTATAGGATGGAGTGATCACAGATCTTGAAGAAACTAAGGATGCCATTATTAGGGCATCAGATCTTCCATTGTCAATTCTTATTGTAGGGGTGGGAGGAGCTGACTTCAAGGAAATGGAGGTATTCTTGTTTTCCTTCCCTTCATAATAAAGGTACATGCAGCCTTTTGTTTTACAAGAGTTTCTTTATATATATCAATCTCTATTTCAGATTTTAGATGCTGATAAAGGGGATAGACTCGAAAATTCTCAGGGCAAGGTCGCATCCCGTGATATAGTCCAATTTGTCCCATTACGGGAAGTGCAAAGTAAGTTAAAACATCGAAAGCTATGGAGCTACTAATATTTCTTCAAAATTACATGGACCAAACTGAGGCTTTGTTCTGCGGCTTTTGTGAAAACCTAACATTATATTACCTGATTTTGTTTTGCTTGAATTTTCAGGTGGAGAGATATCTGTTGTTCAATCGCTTTTAGCAGAACTGCCTTCTCAATTTTTGGGATATTGGCGTGCTCATCCAACTGTATAATCAGACTATGCAGTGTACATACAGAAATATTGAAAATGATTGCTATTTCAATGCTGGCCTGCAACTAGAATCGCCCAATATTTGCTTCCATTAAACCAATCCTTTTGAAACTTTCCAGGAATAGTGTGCACATGCATGTTCGATTTTGTTCATAATTTTACATGGTGATCTAAGTGAACAGATGGAGTTCCTCCCACGAAATTATATATCCGGAGACCAACTCATCAACCACGAATTGAAGAGCTTCAAGACTATTGTTCATAATTACATTGTTGGTTCATGCCTTTAATGTTGTCCATCACAGTGATAAAAATACAATTTATATTATTATTAGGATGGATTCATAGACTACCAATTTATTGTTATTTAGACACAGCTAGCTACCTGATGATGATGTTATTTTCGATCTGCTTTACCAGTCTATATTACTGGCTGCATTTACTTTACACGGTTTTGGTTTGGTTCCCAAGTGTAAATTGCATATCTAATTACTTTATTTACCGCTAATAGAGTTGGCCACCCAGTTCCCAAAAATGTATACGCTTAATTGGTAACCCATTGAGTTCAAATAGTAGTCAGGTCTGAATATATATGGGAGAAGGAAAAATGTTGCTTGTTTTCTCTTAAACATATCCACGGAATTTTGTTTCAAGTAATATAGTTTGTATTAAATATTCAATTGTTATTTTCATTATAGTTATTTGTGAATTGAATAATTGTGTTATGAATTAATTCATATAATTTGCAACGAGGTTGAAGAGAAAAATACATTTGCACAGGCACACTACAAGAGCACATCAAATTGATGGCATGTATCATTTGCACAAAATGATGAATATGTTATCGTGACTCAAGAACACTAATTGTAATCTCATTTTAGGAATAAGAATCACTTACCTCTCGATGAGAAGTAGAAACATTGGCATTGACATTGGAATGACTAGCAATAAATGCAGGCTCTTTTAGTGGTGGAATTGATGTTGCATGGTCGGTGCACAAGTGAACTACATTAGACATTGTTGGTCTATCTGTTGGAATTGTTTGAACGTATAAAAGTCTCACTTCGATGCACCATATAACTTTGAGAGAGTCACATAATTCTCTTATTGTTGGATTGACAAATTCAAGTGGTCTTCCCTCTTTCTAGTTTACCCATGCCTAATGCAAGAAGAACGAAAGAAACCATCATGTCTTTTTTCCTTTGTATACAAATTATATATCCCAATCATGAAGTTCTGAAATTGCGTACCCATCCTAGTAGGGTGTCTTGAAGTTGAGTCTGATGAAAAAATTCAAAGTTCTTTTGTCCACATGAAACAGTAAATGAAACAGTGATCGATCGAGAGTGGATTCTGGCTACACTTACTATGTTTTCAACCACATGATTTGTTTCCGCTTGAGTTTGGTCAAGTCCGAAAATTCTTGCCATTCCAAAGTCATATTTTGGATTTCATTGTTTCAAAAAGTAAAATGTTGCTTGCTTTTAGGTCTCGATGATTCGATGAATGACTTCTAGTCTAGAATACTTGTGAAGATATAAAATTCCTTGAGCAATTTCTTCTATTATCTGCGCGCGTGTGCTCCAATCTAAATGATGTTTCTCCAATGCCAAGATAATAGATATAATATGATGAGTTCACTCTGATACTTCAAAGCCATCTTCTAATTTTATCCGTGCATCACACGAGCATTGCACGCGCATCACTCGAGTAATTGGACAAGTATTTATTCAAATTTAAATAAGATAACATTAGAAATCATAATCAATACTACTCATTTGTTTGCCTTAGCAAGTCAAATTGATGGAATGTCACACAAAGAGAGTAGATCATGTCGTTGACAAGCGGCAAGAATACCCATACATCATGCCTTAATTAAGTCCCAACAAGTCTAACATCATTGTCTTTATATGGTTAAGGTTTAATGGTGAAAAGAAAATCAATTTGTCTTAGAAAAATTAAACTTTATCATTATATTATAATCTGTCTTTTGAAATTAAAACAATTTCATATCAATTTTATAATTTTTAACTTCTTTTGCAAATTTAACCATACATTTCCATTATAATAAGTATAAATGTCAAATAAACATTCAAACTATTTACAAAATAACTAAATCGTCAAATTATAAAAACTATGTTATCGTGACTCAAGAACACTAATTGTAATCTCATTTTGAGAATAATCACTTACCTCTCGATGAGAAGTAGAAACATTGGCATTGACATTGTAATGACTAGCAACAAATGCAGGCTCCTTAAGTGCCGGAATTGGTGTTGTAAGGTCATTGCTTAACATGAGAACTACCTCGGTCATAGTTGGTATATCTCTTGGGATTGCTTAGAGGCATAAAAGTCCCACTTTAATGCACCTTACGACCTTGAGAGAGTCATACGATGCACTTATTGTTGGATCAACAAATTCAAGTGCTCGTCCCTGTTTCCAGTTTTCCCAAGCCTAATACAAAGAAAACCAAAAGAAACCATAATATAATGCTTTTTTTTTTTCTACCCATCTTAGTAGGGTGTCTGCAAGTTTAGTCTCAAAAAATTTAAAGTTTTTCTGGCCACTAACAATTTTTTAACAGCAGCACTCCAAAATTGAACACATTAGACTTCTCAGAAAACTGGCCTTGCATCACATATTCCGGTGAAATGTTGCCACTATGGCAAAAAGATATTAGTTATAGAAGCATTAGCCGTAGACAATGAAAAATAAGGTTATCAATTGACTCGAATATTTATCAGTAGTGCGGGTTCAAGTTACACTTACTATGTTCCAACCACATAGTTTGTTTCTGCCTGAGTTTGGTCAATCCCGAAAATTCTTGTCATTCCGAAGTATGATATTTTGGGCTTCATTCCTTCATCAAGTAAAATGTTGCTTGCTTTTAAGTCCCGATGAATGACTTTCAGTCTAGAGTACTTGTGAAGATAAAGAATTCCTTGGGCAACCCCCTCTATTATCCGAAACCGTGTGCTCCAATCTAAACTATCTTTTAAGAATTCATCTGAGAGAAACATAGTGATTTCGTTAATTGGGGATTTAAACTAGAGACTTAAGGCTCCCAGCAAATGAAATTTTTCAGAAATTAAGTTTTAGAACACGTACCAAATAAGAATGTGTCTAGGCTTCTCTTTAGCAGGTATTCGTAGATTAGTATTTTCTCTTCATCCTCAGTGCAGCAACCCAATAAGCTCACAAGATTTGTATGTTGTAGCTTGGCAATCAGCTTCAGCTCGTTCATGAACTCCTCCAGACCTTGCGATGATCGCTTCGATAGTATTTTAAGGGCTACCATCCCGAGTGATACGTGTGCGATGTGCGTGCAATGCGCGTGCGATGTGCGTGCAATGCGCATGCGATGTGCGTGCGATACGTGCAATGCACGGATAAAATGTATATTAGTGGTTGCATTTACACGGTTTGGTTTGGTTTGGTTAATCCAAGTGTAAATTGCATATCTAATTACTTTATTTACCACTAATAGAGTTAGCCAAGATACTCAACCCCCAGTTCCCCAAAAATGTATACGCTTAATTGGTAACCCATTGAGTTCAAATAGTAGTCAAGTCTGAATATGGGAGAAGGAAAAATATATGTTGTTTTCTCTTAAACATATCCCCGGAATTTTGTTTCAAGTAAATATAGTTTGTATTAAATATTCAATTGTTGCCAAGCAGTTGTGGTCAAAAGACACCTCTGTAACTTCCCTTGAGTGAAGGTCACAGGATTGAATCTCGGTGGTGGGGTATTGACTCTTTAAGCTGCATTAGTTAATAGAGTTAATAGTATTAAAAAATAATCAGTTGTTATTTTCATTAGTTATTTGTGAATTGAATAATTGTGTTATGAATTAATTAGATTAATTCATATAATTTGCAACGAGGTTGAAGAGAAAAATACATTATTCATACAATTGGGTCTAGACATTAGTTTTAATTTTTGTGAGAGACAGGCAGACAGTCATGTGTTTGGCTTGCAAGTCAAATTGATGGAATGTCACACGGCGAGAGCAGATCATGTCGTTGACAAGCGCCAGGAATACCCATACATCATTATCTTTATATGGTTAAGGTTTAATGGTGAAAAGAAAAATCAATTTGTCTTATAAAAATTTTATAATTATATTATTCTATCTTTTGAAATTAAACAATTTCATACCAACTTTATAGCAATTTTTAACTTCTTGTGCAAATTTATATTAATTTTTAACTTCTTGTGCAAATTTAACCATACATTTCAATTCTATTATAATAACTTTAATGGCCCGTTTAGTTCACGGAATAGGCCGGGAATGTCATAGACTCATAGCATCCCCAGTAATGGGCCTATTCCTTTGTTTGATAACTGTTTCTATTCCCTCCAAATTTCAGTAGTTATGTCGTGCAACCGTGTGCACCATGTATGTTACACACGGTTGCAAAATGACGTCGTTTTGACTAAAAAAACGCATTTAATTTTTTAAAAAAAATCAGTTTCGATTCCCCTCAACAGCATTATTGTGGATATATAGTTATGAATTTGTGGATATATAGTTATGAATTTATGGATATTTAGTTCATTCACTGTGGATATTTAGTTCATTCATTGTGGATTTTGTGTTATTCATTCACTGTGGATATATAGTTATGAATTTGTGGATATATAATTATGATATATAGTTATGAATTTGTGGATATATAATTTAAATTATGCACAAAAAATGCTATTGCCGAGAATCGAACATGATTTTTTTTTTTATATAAAAAAAAATGGGACGCGCGTTTTTAGTCAAAACGACGTCGTTTTTGCAATCGTGTGCACCATACATGGTGCACACAGTTGCACAGCATAATTTGCGTCTAAATTTATTCCGTGAACCAAACGGGCCATAAATGTCAAATAAACTCTCAAACTATTCACAAAATAACTAAATCGTCAAACTATAAAAAATTCCAATTCAACTCTAAATTTGCAATAAATGATGCAATTGACATATTTAATATGTTACGGAGTACTATAATTAAGATCAAAGAACCTTTTAAAATTTGCTCATGTAACATCCAAATGTGATTATGTATGTGACTTCTTTATTTAAAAAAAAAAAAAAAAAAAAAAAAAAAACACATAAGCTTAGGTATTATTGCTTGAAGAAGTCCATGGGAAACTTTGTCCAAATCTAGACGAAGCCATGGCTTCATCCAAAGTTGGACGGAAAATCATGATTACTCTTTGTCTGGAACCGAGATTATTTGTCATAGTCATTCTCATAATAAAAAAAATAAAATAAAATAAAATCAACACTTAAATTTTATTTATTTTTAAAATTTCTAATATAGAGTCACACATAAGCTTTAATTTGAATTCCATATAAATTTTGAATATATTATAAAATATAAAGTAGCATGTTACGTTTAAGTCAATAGCAACTCAACTTTTATCGGCAAAAAAAATTGTTTAATGACATCATTTTGCAAGTATAATGATTTAAATAATTTTTAAAAAAATATATAATTGATAACTTAATGGATGTTTTTCTTATAATATCGCTAAAAGTAAATAGCTACGGAGTAATATAAAAATAAAACCAATATAATCACTAGAAATAGGGCAAACCATATACTACAATACGTAGAACTGTCCAACATATATGACAGTACGTGTATATGTTTCAAAGTCAAACAGAAAAGTAAAGCAACCCTTGAAAACGGAGATGTTTGGTTTTATTCCACTACGGCTGCCAATGTAAATTAAACGATCAAAATAGAATATAGACTGAAATTGTGAAAAGAAATGCTTTTTTAGTCCATACTCCATAGACTATAGTACTATTTTCTAATGGGTAATTGTTGAATGACAAAAACGTATTTTGCCAAAATATTTTAATTTATTATGAGTCACACTTGTGCGAGACCGTCTTAGGGATTTTTATTTGTGAGATAGGTCGGGTCATGTCGGATCAACATGTAAATGTCATATTTATATGCTCAAATTGTAATACTAATAATGAATAAATATTTGTTACTTATACCGAAAAATGTAATACTTTTTACATTTTTATGTAAAAGTATTATATTTTTATATCAAAAGTATTACATTTTCCCTAATAAGTAATGTTGCCAAGTGTTTGTTACTTATAATGTAATAATACTTTTGAGTGAAAATGTAATACCTTTAAATTAAAATGTAAAAGTATTACATTTTCTCATATAAGTAAAAAATAATTTATTCATAATTAGTACGGAGTATTAAATTTGTGCGTATAAGTATTACATTTTCATCTGGACAGACCCAACCGACATGTCTCACGGTGGACAGTCTCACACAAGTTTTTTCCTTTTATTATTGATGTGATGTGATATTTTTAGTTGGTTTAAAATTTTTTTATTCTTTTGGTGACAAGAAAAACACGCAGTCAATATTTGATGATATGCATTTGATAAATCTATTCCTAGGCAAATTATATTATGGACAATGGTCCACATTGCAACATGGATCATGAATAGAATGTAATATTCATTTTTTTTTAATGAATATTATATGTTCATACATACTTTTTTCAACCTAGTGAAATACAAAGAATCAAATTAAAGCTCATGAAATCTCTCATTTAAAAAACCACAGTTATACCGCCTGATTACAAGGCTTTGGCGTAATAATTATTTTTAATATACTGAAAATTCATTTTAAGTATATATCTAAAAATAAACCTTCAATACGCAAAGTTTTCTTTTAAGATCCTCTTTATGTCCCTATTAACTATCTCGACTTGCCCATTGGTTTGAGGATGATACGGTGCTTTTCTTTTCAACACTCTCTAGTGGTGTGTTACAAACGTGTGTTCATTGATCACTAATTAAGGCTCTAGGTACACGGGAAAGTGAGAACAACTTCTTAAGAAAGAAACCGAATAAGACAAATAATGCCAACATCAAGAAGTTTAGGGTCCGTTTACTAACAAAAAATTGTTATTTGTTCTCTGTTTTTTAATTTCTCAGTTTTCATTTTCTGTTTTCTGTTTACAAAACTGTTCTCCGATTCTTGTTTTCTAATTTTTTAGTTTTCACTTAATATTTAGTTTAGATAATATTAATATTTTTTGAGCAAATATTTAATTTTTTTTTTTTTGGATATATTCATTTGAATGACATGTATATGAATATATAACTTTTACTTTGAATTCTAATGTATGTGAGATTTTCATATCCGATATCTGGACCGAACTTGTATTATGATGTAACATAATTAAAAATATTCGAACTAATAATCTATTGAGTTCAATCAAAATCTAAAACATTATATAGAGTTTAATTCTTAATTTTGATAATGTAAATAATGTCTAACTTTAAAGTATAAGCAAATAAATTATGTTTAAATGAGTAAAGTAAGTAGAAAAGATAAAAGATAGTGATAAGTAAAATAAGATGATAATGAATGTAATCATAGTAATGTGGTTATAGTGACATATAACTAAATAGATGATAGATGATTCTGTTTTCCATTTCGAAAACAGTTTTTAAGTGTGTTCCAGTTTTTCAGAAATTTTCAAAAGTTAATTTCAGTTTTCAAAATGAAAAATTGTGTTAGTAAACATGTTTTCTGTTTTCTATTTTCCAGTTTCCGGATATTTCCAGAAATTTCTAGTTAGTAAACGGCCCCTTAATTGCCTAAGCCTTAAACTTTCACTTTGATTTCAATTTTCATTGCATTGTCTAGTTAGATTCAATTTCTATTTCTATTTCGGAAGCAGTTGAAGAGATTGAAGATTCATTATTTCTTATTTTCCGGTAGGTTGCAATTCTAATTTCAATTTTCATTCTTTAAATCCATTGTAATTTGCTACTTGTTTGTTTTACTACTTTGATACATTGCTTATTGTTGTTATGGAATTCCATTTCGTCTTTGAATCTATGCTTGTTTTTATAATAATCATGTGTATGAGTAATCTCATAGGTAAGGAATATGGATGAGAATTTGGTTCATGTAAATTTGACTTTGAATTTGTTGAATAGGAGTGATGCGATTGTTATTCAGCTTTATATTTCACAGATATAATGTTGAATTTAAAGGAGGGAATATGTAAAGCATCAGTTAACCTTAGATTGTTATTCAGCTTTATATTTTCCATGTGTTCCACAGCTACATAATTTCCATTAGGTAGGTTGACCATAGCCCTTTTCACAGTATAATACTCATCAAAAAATTCTAGAGAGCATATTATATGTTCAGTAACACATGAGTCTATTATCCATGCTGAAGAGTTTAAAGAGACAGAGTTAATTTGAATGGGATCAGCATACTTGCCTTCATTATCATGATCTGCATTGCTGAATTTTGGGACTAGAGACACTGCTGCAGTAGTAAGGTGCTGATTATGTCCTAATTGGCCTTGGAGAAGTGATATGAGGCTCTGAATCTGATTAGGAGTGAAAGTATTTTCAGATTGCACTGCTTAAGTTGTGTTGGATATTTGTTTTCTTTTTGATTTGTAGCCCGGTATCCACCTGGGAGGATAACCGTGCTTTTTGTAGCACTTCTCAATAGTGTGCCCGCTCATTCCGCAGAAGGTACACTTAGCCATGTTCTTGGATCCTCCTCTTGCATTGAAATTTCTTTTTCCATTAGAGAAATTAGCAGCAGCAACACATGTTTCATCTGCATAACTCTGTCCAGTCTGATTTGCATTTGCATGGCCAATCTCCAATCTAGTGTTGTCAGATTAGTGATGTTAAGCTGTCTTTCAAATTTTGCAGATATCACGAATACCTTATGCATCTCAGGCAGTGGATCGAGAACCAGAACTCCCGACTTCAATGAATTATAATCTTCATTCAATCCTTGTAGGAACCTTATTATTTGATCAATCTCTCGATCCTTCCTAATCTCATCCACCAGATCACAAGAACAACGTGGTGTGCATTTGCAAATTGGGAGAGGTCTAAGAGTATTCATTTCTTCCCAGAGTGTGCGGCATTTGGTATAGTAATCATTGATTGACATACTTCATTGCTTTAAGCCATAGATCTCGCTCTGCAGAGATGAAATCCGATGCAGATTCCTTTGAGAGAATCTTCTTCTTAAATCGTTCTAGATCTCTCTTGCCTCATCCATGTAGATCACGCTTTGTGCAATGGATGAATGAACGGATTTCAGTATCCATGATTTGACGATTAGGTTGCATCTTCTACAGGTACCATATTGGTTGTGAGTTCTCTCTGGTACAGGAATGCTTCCATCATTATCTTCCACTTGTTTTTAACTTCAAGAGCTACTTGCATAGAGATACACCATGAACTGTAGTTTCCGCTACCAGCAAGGGGAGGACTGACGAGAACTGCATTAGCATTCTCATTGCTACTCAAGTATAGAGGATTGTCTATGTCTTCAATGGTGTTCCTCTGCGGAACTGGAACTCCCTGCTCACTGACCAGGGGTGATGAATGAACTGGAGAGCTGATGATCGGCGAGGCCGGATTAACTTCCTGACTAGATCCACCAGGACCGGTGACCGCGGCAACGTAGCTGATCGGCCGCGGCTCTGATACCATAACGAAAGCGATGAAGAATAGAGAGGAGAAGAGAGGATTAAGGGAAAAAAGGAAATTGTTTCATTATGGAGATTGTAAATGAAGACGAAGACGAAGACGAAGACGTATATGTACATAAGCTAATTGGCGGTAAAGGAAGTTACAACAGATTATGGCATAGCTAATTACAAGATAACCCTCACTTCTTTATTTCATCTAAGGGTATAGATGTCTTCTTCTCCAAGAGATTTGACTTGACAATGCTAATTAAAATGATTGAGTTCCGTTTGTGACGTGATTACCTAATTTAATCCTGCGGGGTTAATTACCTACACCACCTTTGAGAAAAGAGGAGCGTGGGATGTCAAGAACACAAGATCTTTGATGAAATGCTTGATCAACTCTTAGGTACTCATGAGTCATGAGAATGTCCACTGCACGTGTGTCGTAAGAGAGTGAAATGACCTTGAGAAAGGTGTTCCTCCTCTTTGATGACATTCGTTGTCAAGTCACTTAATTATTGGTCCTGAGTTTGGTAAAAAGTCTAGAGGAGGAGGAGGAGGAGGAGGAGGAGGAAGGGGGGGGGGGGGGGGGGGGGGGGGTTGAATAGACTTTTTTTTTAAAAAAACTTTAACCTCAAAACAGTTTTTAGATCAAAGCTTACCACCAGCTCGAAAGCGAGTGATAGGCAGCGGAAGACTAAAAGTTTGTATCGCAGTTTGTATAAAACAACTTGAACAAAACATGTACTATGTGTGCTAACTGTTTCGATCTGCTGCAAGATAAATGCAAGAAATTAAAGTGCAAAAAGTAAAGAGTATAGAGAGAGAGATTTTTATAGTGGTTCAGCAATAGCCTAGTCCGATCCACTACTCTTCTCCTTAACCTCTAAGAAGGATTTCATCACTAGTATTCTATGCACAAATACAAGTGAAAAGGTCACACAGTGTATCCACAAAGCATTGTTGACTGCATGTAGTGTTCTTTCGAACTAAATGTCCCCTCCGTTATTCAACACCTGATCTTTATTCCAAGGGTCAACCATGAAGTCGCCTTGAGTAAAAGATCTTTAACCACAATCTTCAAAAACTGCGATTGTTTGTTTGCGTTCACAAACATATTAAATGGACATTGAACTTAGAAATTCACTGTGAAGCTCAGGTTGCACTAGATATGAACGTTGAAACTTCGTCTCTCTCTTAGCTTTGCTTGCACAACACTTGAAAATACTCTTTATCAGAGTGATCGAGTGGGTAGAATATGATTCTTATACTTTTATTATAATAGTGGTGATATGATATCTTTGTTACATTGTACAATTTTCCATAAAAAGCAATAATAATAATAATACTAATAATAATAATAAAACAAGAAAAAAAAAAAAAAAAAAAAAAAAAAAAAAAACACACGACCGAGAGCATAGTTGACGACTGGTGTTGTTCACACTAGCTTACAACTACAAAGATGTGTGGTTATAAAACCTAATTCTTTCTCTTCACCTCCCTCCGCCCCCACTGGACCGCTTTATTCTTCATCTCCATCTTCGTCTTAGCTTCTTCTCCATATATTCCCACCCACAAAATCAAACTATTTTTCTTATATTATTTTATTATTCAAACTAGCAAGCTACGTACTATACACTAGCTGCTGCGCTGTTTGAATTCATGAGGTGAGAAACTCCATCTTTAATTTTGGCCTTTAGTGTAATCCAAGAACATAAACGGTGGATCGACATCATGGGAAGAGGCCCTTTTCTTCCGATGAACCGGAGGAGAAAGAGAGCGGCGGCGGCGCCACGGCGGAGTCCATTTTCCCGGTCTACTCCGCCAGGTCTCTTCATGATATGACTGCCATGGTTTCTGCCCTCTCCCAAGTCATTGGTAACAACAATACTTCTACCGCCACCTCCCAATCCAATCCCTTACATGGAAATTCACTAATGCCCCAAACTCAACAACCCAATATTCAACAACAACAAGGTATACTATACTCTATATATATATATATACATGCTTATATTTATTAACTTGGATAGATTGCATGTGATAATGAATTATTATTATTATTATTAAGCAAAATATAGAAATCTTTGATGTAGTAATTAGAGCTAGCTAGCTTCATGAAATTAAGTTTCAGCTCAAAACTAGCATTGGTTGATGGCCGGAATAAACGCAACCCTTATGTTAATTAAAATAAAGAAGTCAAATTACATAAATTAGGTATATGTTGAACATAATACTTGTGTATAATAAAATAATAAAAATGGTCGAATTCTTTCAGTCAATTTAAACTATCAGTCAAACTAAAACCTAACATATATATTCTCTAATTTAGTATTTGAAAAAAAGGGGTCTTTTGTATAATAATAATAATAATAATAATAATAATAATAATAATAAATGTGTACTTTTCTTATTTGTTTGAATTTTTAGTTGAGACGAATTAAATTGAAGCTAAGGTCAGCATAAGTTTAATTTTGAATTTTATTATATGTATATAACAAAAGAAAAAAAAAAAGGATATAATGGAAAGAAATGGTAATTAAAAGCTTGATATATATGATGTTGATGTATATATAGAAGGGAGGGAAAGAAAGAGACATTATAGAGGAGTACGGCAGCGGCCATGGGGGAAATGGGCGGCCGAAATCAGAGACCCGAAGAAGGCGGCGAGGGTTTGGCTGGGAACCTTTGACACCGCGGAAGCGGCAGCCTTAGCGTACGATGAAGCGGCGTTAAGGTTCAAAGGCAACAAAGCCAAGCTCAACTTCCCCGAAAGGGTTCAACCAAAAACAACCGATTTCGGATACCTAACTACACTCCAACAACAACACTTTCATGCGGCGGCTTCGGTTCTTTCTCCTTCGCAATATCATCATTTCTCCCAGCCGCAATATCATCACCCCAATCTGGACGATCACTACGCCGCCCAGCATTACGCTACTCTTCACGCCCAAGCCCCGACGACAAATGATAATAACTACCTCAACTTGTTTCCCAACTACGAGGTTTCCGTGTTTCGTCCCATGGGAACGTCGGCAACAACGACACCCTTTGTTTCTCAGCAGCAATTCCAATTTTCTCAGTTTCCGTACGGGACTACTTCCTCCTCGTCCGCTGCCTCGGGTGATGCTCATAATGCTCCTGATGAGGATAACTGGGAGGAGTTTGATATCAAGAACGTCAGAAAGTGATCCCATCCATAATAATAATAATAAACATTGTTTTGTTGTGTTTTAATTAATTTTGCTTTTATTAATTACTACTATTTTATGCATGCAATGCATGGATTATGTTTTTGTTTTTCTAGGTCGGGGTTCAGCCTTTTGGAAGAATGTTTTTGTTTTTCAAGTTATATATTAAGCCTTAAAAGCAAATTAAATGTTGCTTTTTAATTATGTATGTTACGTTATATATGTCTGAAATACATAATGCAATGCCAATTGAACTGTTTTCTTCTCCAAAAGGTTGAATCCCTTATTCTCTCACATCTCGGCCCGATAAAGCATTTGGAAGAATGTAAATCAAACGTGACTCAATGGTTCAGCAGACATGGCTAAATGTCAGTGCGTACAAGGGGCCGGCCAACTTTGGACATAATTCCACGTACATTGCCACTGCCAAACCATGAACCATTAAGCTTAGCCCGTGTGGGCAGTTGAAGGGTTTTCTATATGAAAAGAATGGAGCATTTACTTGATGTAGTGTGGGATAATGAGAACAGAAATGGTTGCAACGGCTTTTAAACTGGTTATTATTCTTCATCATGGACTACAGTCATAATCAAATATAACCTAGTTACTATATATATATATATATATATATATATATATATATATATATATATATATATATATAGAAAAACATATATTGGGTGAAGAAATAACATATATCGTATATGTATAAAGCATGTGTCAACCTCGGCATTAATTTTAATTTTTAAGTTTAATTCGTGTAGATTAAAGTTACACATACACAAGCTAAGCTATTCTTAATTAGGGTTTTTGGGTATTTAGTTTGGTCATACTAAGTTTCTGGGTATTTAGTTTCAATTTTAAACTAAGAATTACATGTAATTCCTAATTTGCTCTTAACTTTATTTCTTAATCCCAAATATAAGATGTAGATAATTTTGTCTAAGACTTATAAAATAAAGATATCGATCTTATCTAATCTTGCCACATCATAAAGCTAGTTTGGTTGAAAGAGTAGAATTTGAAAGTCTTTATAATAGATCAGAATGTTTATACGGATGGCAAATAGACTTTTAAGCTAATTATCCTCTCATTGCTCATGTTACAAAAAAATATACACTTCTAGAACATAAGAGTGTTCTCAAAAAGTATCTCGGTCTTCTATAACTTCCATTACTACAAGGTTATACTACTCGTACTTTTTTGTAAATTATAGATTATTTAAGATTCACCTGTTAGATTATTTTTATATCTAACATTACACATACACACATACACACACACACACATAGGGGGTGGGGAGGAAATGTCATACGAGAACACATGCCCGGCCTCGTAAAAAGTATGAACTTGGTCATCTATCAATCTGAATTGATCAATGATTGAAAATTAAGATAAATATGTAGTGACATGCATTTTTGTAATTACAACGGTGCATTTAGAAACACTTAATAGCGCATCCACGGATAACTAGAAGTACACTAATGATCTATAATAGTACACGTTTGAAAATTAAGGTAAAACATGCCGTGGTATTTCTATAATTACAACGGTGCATTTAGAAACGCTTAGAGTGCATCTGCAAATAACTAGAAGTAAACCCATGATCTATAATAGTGCACTCGTGATCATTTGTGTGCACTATTAGTTATCCACGAATGCACTTTTAAGTGTTTCTAAATATATTATCATAATTACATAAATGTCATCACATTTTTTCTCATTTTTCTTAATTTATAGCTCTTGACTTGATCAACCTAGATGAATGAATGAAACTAAACCGCATCTTTTACATATGGCATGTTTTACCATATATATATATATATATGGGATGGTTCACGTGCGAAGAGTCTCCCAATGAAAGATGCGGTGAGATCTGAGCCGTTGATCTAGTAATCTAGATCAACGGCTCAAATCAAGAAAAATTTAAAAAAAAAATGCGTTAGGCTTCTTAGGAACTAGATGCGAATGATCTCCTCTTACCATTGTTGAACTGATGCACCTTAAGGTTCAAACTTACGCACTTTAAGTTTCAAATTGACTCAATCTAAAAAGTGTTATATTGATGCACTTAAGTGTTGTATTGATGCACCTTAAGTGTTGTATTGACACACTTTAAGTGTCAAAATGACGCACCTTAAGTGTTAAAATGACGTACCAAGTGTTAAAATGACGTACCAAGTGTTAAAATGTGGCACCTTAAGTGTTAAAATGATGCACCTTAAATGTTAAAATGACAAACCTTAAGTGTAGAACTTACGCACCTTAAGCTTTGAAAATACACACTAACTTTACAATCCGAAATGTCAGTTCTCGTAACCTTTTGGGTACCTTTAGAAAGGTACCATTCGGAGAATGTTACCTCCCGAACTACTCATGTTTCAAACCATTAGAGTCACTCTTTGGAGTTCTGAAAATACGCACCTTAAGTGTTAAAATGACACACCTTAAATGTAGAATTAACGCCCCTCAAAACACGCAAAAGTGTCCTAAATATTTCCTTTAAATTAAGTAAAATATTTTTACAAACTTTTTAGCGCCGGAAAGTGAGTGGCTTAGTAACTAGGAAAAAGCAAAGACTTGAGAGACAAGGATACTTAATGATATATCTAGAATTGTGATGATATATTTAGGGTGTATACAATGAACACGTTTGCTTTATGATGAATTAATTTGAAGTGGAAAAAAGTTGGTAATAAATACCATACTTGAAAGGCAAGATATATGCACCTTTTTTTGTGCGTATTGCATGATATCATCACTTTATATATGTACTTAGCTTTTTGTTTTTCCACTTTGAGTGAGTTTGTTTTCCTACGTACTATATATATGTTCACATTATTGTCTTGTAATGCCTATGTTCACATTGTCTCGTAACGTGGCATTGCAATTAGGATTTGCATTTTTAGCTTTTTTACATTCACGTGAATTATCTCACATTATTTAAGAAGTTGAGAATAAATCTTTTGAGATTGTGACAAAAAATGAACTCTAACAATTATCATTTTTTTAATTTTTCGTGCAAATAGACCACTACAACGAATCTACTTATGACATTAAAATATCAATTCAACAAATCTTAAAGGCTTACTAAAAAAGGTTAAGGGTATGATCAATATAAATATATATATATATATATATATATATATATATATATATATATATAAAACGAGTTAGACTATTAGACTTCTAATAATTAATAGTTGGTTTTTGTTAATTCTAGATAATATCTATTGGGTAGAGCTTATTTAGGAGCTTATTAATTGGTTTTTATTAATTTTAGATAATTATTCTATTGGGCGGAACTTATTTAGGAGTTTATAACTATTTTAAATTAATAATAAGCTATGAGCTCTGTTTGGTAATGTTTCCAAAATAATTAGCTAGTAACTTATTTTGAAAAGTTACTTGAAGTGGTGTTTCAAAAATAAGCTAAGAGATTCCTAAATTTTTTTCCATCTTATCCTTATTATTATAAATAAATGACATCTTTTACCCTTCTCAATTATAACATTTTTGTCATTTTCTTTTCTCCTATATTTTTATATCCATCATCTTCTACAACTCTTCACCGTCCAACAACTCAAGTTCTAACTCAAATCATCCGTTCATAAACAAATGACATCTTTTATACCAATTACAAACTTTTTTCCTTTTGTTTTAATATATATCTCATATATATATTATAAAAACAATTTTTTTATAAATAATTAAATATTTCTCATATATTTAATAATATAAAAATAATACAATAATCACATCATTTAAATTTTATAGAAATATCATTTTTAGTCTTTTTTACAGTTATCAGCTTATCAAAAAGTTAATTTACCAAACACTTTTAAGCATAATCAACTAGTTAACAACTCTTCAGTTTCAGTTTTTAGCTTATAGCTTTTCAACTTTCAATTACCTTAAGCTAGATTTGTCAAACATAGCCAGTATATATTCAAAATATAATTAATAATAGAAACACATTAGCTAAATTTGGACTTTTAGGACATATATAATACAACCAAACAACCATTTAATTATATATATAAGTTGTACTTTAGTCAGATCTCTTCTAGTATAATCAGAATTCCATTAATTTAGCATTTGGTTTAAATAATCACACTTCTAAATTTAACTAAGTGATGTAACTTGAACTATTGGTCGGACCTAACTTACCCACTACAAATTCAAGCAAATTATTCCGTGGACCCATGCTCACCTTGCAAAGTGGACCCAAATCTAAAATACACAATTTAGATACTTAATGTTCACAATTTTGTAAAAGATAAATCGTAAACATTATGTATGTAAATTGTGAACATTCAATATATAAATTATGTATTTTGAATTTGAATCCACCTTACAAGATAGACCCTGGTCTATGGTATAACGACGGACTAATTCAACATAAAGCCAAAAGACTCCTATATGACTAGGATTATACGGAGTATTACATTAATGTACGTGTGTGTATCTTAAGTTTGTTACACATTCTTAAATTAAATTTAATTATGTGATATAAGTTGAATCATTAGTGGGACCCACCCTAATTCAGGGCCAAAAGACTCACATTTTGTTATGAGTGTTACTCTGTTAGAATATAATTATAATTAGAAGAATTACATTAATGTATTTAGTTTAAGTGGTTCCATTTCAAATTAAATTCTGTGATATAAGTTGAAGAGTGAGTGGGATATGATGGCAAAACAAAAACGTCAACGAGATAGACATAAAAGTAAAATGGGCGGCTTGCAAGAAGGCTCCATACGTTTGACAGAGAACAGACAAAGAACAGAGTTATTAATTGCAATTATATTATTGTCAAACATATATAAGAATACATACATACATATATATATATAGTGTGTGTGTGAGAGAGAAAGAGGGAGAGAGAGATTATATATATACTTGCCTTGAGTGTCAAGCTAGCCGCTTCTTTCAAACGTTGAGTGCAGCTTTTGACGTTTCCAAGGTTTGAAATTGAGGTTTTGAATTTGTTTCGTGGGATCGGAATCATTTGTATGTGCACCGAAAGCTTGCTTCTGCTATATATGTTGTTTCACTGCACAAACATACATAAAATAAAAGCTGAGATATATATGGAAAAAAAAAAAGATAGAAATATATCTATAGCTCTTCTGATCTGATCTCCATAAATAATTAAAGAAAAGAAATGAAAACAAATGTGAAAATCATGTGGACGGTTCCGATCTCTTCATTCTGG